AGGCTGGTCTTGCACTCGCACCCTCCTGCCTCAGCCACCCGAGTGCTTGGATTACAGGTGTGCACCACCACGCCTGGCAAGACTGTCCACTTTCATGGTAATCCTCTGAATCTTTTTCTTTCTTTTTTTTGTTTTTGGTATCGGGAATCCAACTCAGGACCTTGCACTTGCCAGTCAGGCACTTGTGCCCCTGTGCTATATCCCCGGCCCCATACTTCTGATATAATCAAATCCTTCAATATTTTGCTTATTGGCTATGTTGTTGATCTTTTGTTAGGAAATTCTTCCCCATCCGTAGGACACTAAGCAACTTTTCTAACATTATTTTCTACTATCTTTATTTTTTTGCCTCTCATATTTAGATCTTTACTTTTTTCTCCAAAAAGTAAGCCAGTTTTCACAAAACCATCTCTCAATAGCTCTGCCTTTCATCATGGATTTATGCAACAAGTTTCTTCTATTTTTGTACTAGGCTATCATGGATATCATATAATTTATGTAAATCTCCTTTTGCAGCCTTACGGATGATTTTTCATCTTTGCCTTGACAAACTTAAAACAGACTGCATAACACAATTCATTTGTAGGTGTATATAGTTAGCTATTTTCTTTGGTGTTTTATTTTCAGTTGTATGTTCTAACTGGTTTGTTGATAATGTGGAAAAATGCAATTGATTTTCATAACTTGTCCTAGAACCTGTCAAATTTGCTAAATTTTCCTACTAGTTCTGCAGTTTATTTTCTCCTCTCCAATCTTTCTATCACTATTTTTTTCCTTTTCTAGTTTTATTGTTTTATTTTGGTTTTTGTTGGTCTTTTAAGACAGAGTCTCACGATGTAGCCCCGGCTGGCCTCAGACTTAACATGATCTTCCTGCCTCATACTTTTATATCCCGAAGTGCTGGGATTACAGGCATGTGCCAACATGTCCTTTTCTAGTTTTGGAATTGAAGTGATAATCAAACTAATAAAAAGAGTTTGGCCCACTTTCATACTTTTTAATGTTGTGGAAAAAAATGTAATTATTACCAGTTGCCAGGAGTTAGTGGTAGTGGAGAGTAGAGTGCATGTGGTTCTAAAGATTTAACGTGACTTTTGTGGTGATAGAGTTGTTCCTTTGTGTTTGGTTGTTTGTTGGCAGTACTGGGGATTGAACTTGGGGCCTTCACGCTGAACTACATCCCTACCTCTTTTTATTTTTTACTTGAGGCAAATTCTGGCTAAATTGCCATGGCTACACTTAAACTTGTGATCCTCCTGCCTCAAGCCTGTGTGTGCTGAGATTAAAGGCGTGCACTACCACATCAGGCATGCTTCTACGTCTCAAATGGCATTGGCTTACACAAATCTACACACACACTATCATAACATAGAACCATAGATGCAGATTGTACAATGTCATTTTACAAATATTGCACTATAATAATGTTAGACATCAGTGGGAAAATTAGATGAAGATACATGGGACCCCTCCTGTTCTGCGTTTTTGTAGATTCTGTATTTGTCTATTTGCCATCCATGCATCACAGGGTCAATTGTGTCAACAAAATTTTCTTATTTTCTGTGTTCTGATGCTCTGATGTAACTTGCTGAATGGGGAAAGACTCAGCCGGGCAATTTTTAGAAAGGGCATGGTCTCAGCCTAGGAGCATTCCTTTGATAAGCAAATGAAACAATTCAAACCCCACAGCCCCAGCCATCTCCTTGATCAAACTCTCATACACCACACCAATATTCCTCTGCTCTACATCATGCCAGGGCCAGATGCCAGACAACAAGAAACCACCCTCGTTACCCAGAGCCCACCAGCATTACCCTAATTAGCCAGCGCTAAACTGCTTACCTTGGTCTGCCTTGCTTTCTCCATAGAAACCTCAGGACAGTGAGGGGCTCATACTTTTCCCTTGATCCTCTGCCTCCTGCCCAGGCCTGCACATCCCTGGGTGGCCCTGGGTGGCATGGCTTGTCCCTTCCTCACAGAAAACGAGGTTATAAAAGTCTCCTTTCTTGTTTTGTTTGTTTCTTTGTTTGTTGTGCATTTTGGTTTTTTGAGACAGGGTCTTACTGTCTAGTTTAGGCCAGCTTTGAACTCACTGTAGCCCAGGCTGGCCTCAAACTCACAGCAATCCTCCTGCCTCGAAACTTCCCAAGTGCTGGGATAACAGGCATGCGCCACCATGCCCAGTGAAAGATGTAAAGTTAAACAACCACCATGCCCCACTCAAAAATCTCCTTTCAATGGCATCTACATCTCCATGTGCTTAGTCACCCCCACAAATTAGATTTCCTTGGAGACAAGTGATATACCTCCAAACTGTTTTTGCATCCACCTATAAATCAATAACTATTTTATTTATTTTTCCTGGTACCAGTAATCAAACTCAGGACCTCCTGCTTGCCAGGCAGGCATGATTCTGCTGAGCTATATTCCCAGCCTCTAATAACTATTTTAAAATAAAGTTTTATAAAAATAAAGCAAATTGGGCAGATTTCATGCTTTTGAAGTTTCCTGGAATAAGTGGAATTGTTCCAGATTACAAAAGGGTAGAACTCAAGTGTTCAAACCACTGGTTTTTACTTTAATGAGAAAAAGGAAGGTCTTTAACTACTACATGAGTTTATACTTAATAGTCTTCAATTTTTCTATTTATTTTTGAACATATTTTTAAAATATTTTTTCACAACTATATCCATTTTGTTTTGGTTTCCAAAACCAAGATGTCTTAGTTACATTTTCTCACTGCTGAAACAAAATACCTGACACCCAAAGTTAAAGGAGGAAAGGTTTATATTGCTCACAGTTTGTAGAGGTTTCAGTCCATAGTTGGCTGGCTCCAAGGCAGGGTGGCATGGCAGGGGACAAACAGTCCGTGGCAAAGCAGAGACGGCAGAAGGCAGCAAGCCACAAGCAAGCCATATGGCAGCTTCTTTCTGTCCCTTTACATTCTATCTAGACTACCAGCCCAGCAGGTAACACTCACACCCAGAACTATGCCAAACCAACCAGTGGACTGATTTAGTAATCACACAACTTTAATCCCAGCATCATACATTCCAGATCCAGCCACCTTCAAAAAACCCCACCTAGGATCGCATGAGGCTTTGGGGAGATATCTAGACACAAGCCATAACAGCCTTTGCTGTACCTATATGTGCTTCTATTTTTTCACTTTTTACTTCTTATTTGTGTCTTCTCTCATTTGTTTTGCTAATCTTCATTCTCGCCTGAAGTCTCCCTAACAATCAACTTTCAATTTTGCTAATCCTGATTTTCTTTAACATGTTCTTCTGTTTTGTTTTCCATTGTTTTCTATCCTGCTTTATTATGTCCTTATTGTTTCCTTGAGATTGATCTGTCTCTCTTTTTAAATCCATTGACTTGAGTGCTACCACAAGTGTTTTCAAGCTTTCTTGCTTCCTGTCACATATTGGACAGGAAATTCCCTCTAAACCTTGCTTTACCTGTACTGCTCGTGCTTTCATTGTCATTCAGCTCTAATTCTGTGTATATTTATTTTTGCTTTTCCAGTATCCCCTTTGGAACACAAAGCT